ACACACAGACACACAGACACGCAGACACTCAGACACACAGACACGCGGACACGCAAACACACAGACACACAGACACACAGACACACAGACACACAGACACACAGACACACAGACACACAGACACACAGACACAGACACACAGACACACAGACACACAGACACACAGACACACAGACACACAGACACACAGACACACAGACACACAGACACACAGACACACAGACACACAGACACACAGACACACAGACACACAGACACACAGACACACAGACACACAGACACACAGACACAGACACACAGACACACAGACACACAGACACACAGACACACAGACACACAGACACACAGACACACAGACACACAGACACACAGACACACAGACACACACACACACACCAGAACCACGCGCGCGCTTCGCGCGCTTAGGTTCTAGCGCAGGCCAGTCGAGGGGCACGGAGTCTTCGTGCTGTCTGGTGTCGGTCTTCAGACGGCTCAAAGCACTTGAACTGACTCTCGGGCTGTTTTGGGGCTGTTTCAGGTGTGTTCTGGGCCGTGCTCGCGCTGTCGAGGGTCCACCTCGAAAGTTTCTTGGGCCGCTGAGCCTGTCTTTGGCTCTTTGCCCCACAAGGTGCTGAAAAGTCGGCCCCAGAGAGAAGGGTCGCTGCCGCTCCACACATTGACAGAGACAAAGAAAACCTGTGCCAATCAGGCGGCGTCCCAGGAACGGTCTCAGGTTTTTGGACCAGAGGCCGCATGTAGACGTACAGGAAGGTTTCTGGGGAAGCCTCTCAGAAGCCCGTTGGGGCCCTCTTGGGGGTCTCCTGGGGGCTTCCTGGGAACCTCGGGGGGCCTCTTGGAAGCCTCCTGGGTGGCCTCTGGAGGCCCTTTGGGGCCTGCCGCGGGCGTCTTGGGGGCCTCTTCGGGTCTCTTGGGGGTCTCTGAAGGGCCTCTTGGGGGCCTCCTGGGGCGGGGGGCTCGAAGGTTCAGTTGGGATTCCCGTCTTGGGCCCCTCTTGGCCCTTCGGGGACGCGTTTGGGCCGTCCTGGGCGCATATTGGACTGTCCTGGGCCCCTCTGGGGCCGTCTTGGGGCTCTCTTGTGGGCTTCGTGGGCCGTCTTGGGGTGGTCTAGGGAGAGTCTGAGGTCGTAAAGGACGATACGAAGGCCAACACATCGAATATGGTTAAAATGTACGTTTTACGAAGGGAACGGGGCTATTTTTGCTTCCCAGGGCCGTCTGGGGGGATCTCTTGGGAGGGTTTTCGAGCGTCGTGGAGGCGTCTGCGGCGGTTCGAGACGCCTCTTGAACCGCCGGAGACCGCTGGAGGTTGTCTTCAGGGTGGCTCTGGGCGGCCTGGGGCCGCCTGGACGGCCGCCTGGGCGCTCCGGGGGCCGACCTGGAGCCCGCCGGGGAGCGGGCTGGGCCCGACGTCCCCCCATTTGTGGTCGGGGCTGCGGCCCGGGGCCCCCGGGCCCGGTGCGGCGTTACATGTAGACTAGAACCACGCGCGCGCTTCGCGCGTGCTTAGGTTCTAGCTAGGAGGCGAGCTTGAGTCAACGAAAGTCGCAGGGAAGGGGGCAGGGGGAAGAAGGCCAGAGAGCGCTGAAGGATACAAATGCTGGAACCCTCTTGTGATTTTGTGGGGGGCCTCGTCCGGCCGCTCGCTGGGAGTTTGACGTAGCTTCTCGGGAGCCTCTGAACCTGTCGGGGGCCTCCTGGAAGCAGGTTCGAAGCATTTTGGGGGCCGATTTGGGGCTTCTCGGGGCCTCCTTTGGGCCTCTTGGGGGTCTCCTGGGGCCTCTTGAGGGGCCTCCTTGGGGCCTCCTGGCGGCCTCTTGGGGCGGAAGGCTCGAGCTTGCGGTTCGTGGTCCCCCTCTGGGCCCCCTCTTGGGCCCGTCTTGGGGCCCTCTTGGGCCATCTTGGGCGCCTCTTGGGCCGTCTTGGGGCCCTCTTGGGCTGTCCTGGGGCCCTCTTGGAAGCTTCTTGGGCCGTCTTGGGGCGGTCTTGGAGGCCTCTTGGGCCGTCTTGGACGCGGTGAAAAATATACGTTTTCCCATAGGAATGACACGATTTTTGTTTCTTGGACCTCTCTTGGGGTGCCTCTCGGAACGTCTTGGGCTGATTTTGGAAGCTCTTTGGCGCCTCTGGGCGGCGTTCTGGCGCCTCCTGGGATATGTTGGGCCGGAAGCTCGGAATTCGAGAGTGGCTTTCTCCTTCTGGGACCCCTCTCGAAGTCGTCTTGGGGTTCTCTTGGGCCGTCTTGGGGCCGTCCTGAGCCACCCGTGCGCAGCCTTGGAGCGCTCCCGGAGGCCTCCTAGGCCGTCTTGGAGGCCTCTTGGGCCGTCTTGGACGCGGTGAAAGCCTAAGATGCGAACATGCGAAAATATACGTTTTCCCATAGGAATGGCACGATTTTTGTGTCTTGGACCTCTCTTGGGGTGCCTCTCGGAACGTCTTGGGGTGCTTTTGGGAGCCCTTTGGCGCCTCTTGGCTGCATTTTGGCGCCTCCTGGAGCCTCTTGGGCCGGAAGCTCGGAATTCGAGGTTGGCTTTCTCCGTCTGGGACCCCTCTCGAACTCGTCTTGGGGCTCTCTTCGGCCGTCTTGGGGCCGTCCTGGGCCACTCGCGCGCAGCCTTGGAGCGCTCCCGGAGGCCTCGTAGACCGTCTTGGGCGCCTCTTGGGCCGTCTTGGACGCGGTGAAAGCCCAAGAGGCGAACATGCGACAACAATATACGTTTCCCATAGGAATGGCACGACTTTTGCTTCTTGGGCCTCTCTTGGGCTGCCTCTCGGAGCGTCTTGGAGGCTTCTGGGACCTTCTTGGAGGCATCTGGAGCCATCGGAGCGCGTTCCGAAGCCGCCTGCGAACGATCTTGGACGGCGTCCGGCGGTCCGACGAGCCTCCGGGCCCCCCGGGGCTCACATTTGTGGTCGAGGTCCCGGCCCCGGGCCCCCGGACCCGGTGCGCCGTTATATGTATAAGTATCAACCCAAAGAAAGAAAGAGAGCGAGAGAGAGAGGGAGAGTGAGGGAGCGATAGAGAGAGAGACCCAGACATGCGACGCCCTGATTTTTTCAGGACGGGGTCCCAGGAAGTCCCGACCCGTTCCCCGGGACCGGCTTTTCATCCCGAGTCGTTCTCTGACGGCCCCGAGGCCCGGCGAGGGCCCCCCGAGGCCGAAAGTGGCCGGACACCTCCCGCCCGGACATTTTTTTTTCAGGACGCTGGGGAGAGAACTGATATCACCCCACACGATTGGCTGCGGAATGGCGGGCGGCCCCAGCCCTCCTCCCCCCGCCACTCCTCCTCCTCCTCCTCCTCCTCCTCCTCCTCCTCCTCCTCCTCCTCCTCCTCCTCCTCTTCCTCCTCATCATGCTAAGACGAAGACAGGACGAGGACAAAGTCGGGTGAGGGCAACGAAATCGAGAATCTCTGAGATCTGGCGGCTCTGGAAAACCTCGGGCGCCGCGGCCTTCCCAGAGCGTCCCGGAACGCTCTGGAACGGATCTCTCCTCGTCCTAGCCCCGTCCTCCGCCCACGACGCGCTCCGCCCCTCCCGGCCGCCCGCCGCCCCGCCTCCGAGAGAGGCCCCGCACCCGCACGCGGAGGCTGGGGGGGGGGGGCGAGAGCACGAGGCGGTGTGCGACACCGTACCTGTCGGGCGCGCGCCCCGCACCGCCGAGAATTCGGCGCCCTTTCTCTGTCTTCAGAGAGCCCAGGGTGCGCTGGGGACTGGCTTCCTCCCCAAGCGACAAAAAAACCCTCCAAAATCCTCCCGAAGCCCTCCGAGAACCCTCCCGGAACCCTTCCCCGAGGGTTTTTTGAGGGCTTCGGCTGTCTTGAGAGGAAACCAGTCCCTAGCGAACCCTGGACTTTCCCTCTCTGTCTGCTCGTGAGTGTTTTCATATTCTCGGGGGGAACCAAAGGGGCTGGGGAAAGCACAAGGGTAGGGCAGAGAATCAACTCACGTAGCTGATTTTCCCAGCGCCTCCTGGCGCCGGGAGGCGCCCGTGTATCGAGGAACAGGCCCGACGGCGGGGCCGAAACCAGCTGCACGCAGCAGATTTCGTACCCCCCCCTTTCCCTATCCCCCCCGTTCGTTCGGCCCGATAGTCGGCGTTTCGACATTGGGCGGAAGGGGGGGGAAGGGGGGGCCTCTGGCTCCGGACCTCTGCTCAGCGCGGCCGTGTGTGGCAGTGCGTCCCATGGGGGAGCCTCCGCCTGCTCGAGACAGGCGCCCCAGACAGCCACGATCTGTTCCATGGGCGGGGGCAGGGGGGGGGGTGCGAGGGCCTGCGCCGATCGGCAAAACGATGAAACAGAAAACGATCACCTCTCGGCTCTGTGCTCTGCTGTCAGTGGCTCGGTACTGTGGTCGGCGCTCTCTCTCTCTCTCTCTATCTCGTTGTCTCTATCTCTCTCCCTCTCTCTCTACCTCACTCTATCATGTTCGTTGTTGGCTCTCTCTCTCTCTCTTTTTCTGTTCGCCTCTCATTCTCTGTCTCTGTCCTCTTGGAGCTCAAGTCTCTCGACTGCTCGACTGCCAACCTGCCCAACAAACAGGGCACACTTACGACCCCCACAACTGCTGTGGCCCTCGACTGGTGTGCGAACATGACGCTGTCCCGTGCGCAAGGTTGCCGCTCCCCGAAACTTACGACCCGGCCTCCAACGGCGGAGCGGAATCAGTCGCGTACCAACAGAACTTTCCCCCGTTCGCCTTAGCCACTTCTTCTACGATCACCCCTGAAAGGGGCCCTGGGACACACATAATAGACACAGATAGCAGAATTCCCCACATCTTCCCATCCTTTCCGGGCTTCTGTCTTCCCCCCCACTTCCCCTACTTTCCCATATTTTCTCTGGGGGATCGACGATGCCTTGTGTCTGTCTGTGTGTGTGTGTTTCCCCTCCCGAACTTCGTCTTCCCGAAGCCGCCCCCGCGCCTCTGTTGGAGGCCTGGAAATTGGCACCAACGCCAACACAGGGGGCTGCCTCCACAGGGGGAAGACGATCCTCGATTTCGGTGCCGGTGGTAATATCTCGGTCACCCTCAGGAAGCCAGAGTCTTACCACCATCACCGAGATCGGGATCGTCTCCCCTCGGTAGGGCAGACCGCCGATTGACTACCTACCAGACCACCCCAACCCAACCCGAAGACCCGAATTTCGGGTTGGGGGGGGGTACGGGTTCCATATGTGTTTTCTCGGTGTTCCCCGACCACCCCCCAACTGGAAGTGGAGGGCAAATCGAGACCTTCGGGTTGGG